GCAGAGCAGACTTTTGTCAAGGGCATGTAGTGATAGGACAAGGGTTTATGGCTTTATGGTGATAGAGGGCAGGTTTAGATTAGATAGAGTAAGAAATTATTCTCTGTAAGGGTGGTAAGGGCCTGGCACAGGTTTCCAGAGAAGCTGTGGCTGCCCCATCCCTGGGTGTGTCCAAGGCCAGGTTGGATGGGGCTAGTGGAAGGTGTCCCTTCCCATGGCAGAGGTGAGCTAAGGTCCCAGCCCAACCCACTCTATGACTGTGATTTATGATGCCAATTATGTAAAATGAGACTGATAGGATTGTTTGGCCGACAGCTAAATCATTGTCAGGGTTGGGCTTCATTTCTGTCTGGAGTAAATCTGTGTGGCTTACTTGAGCAAACAGAGCTTGTGATCAGCTGAGGATGTGCCACACAGTCCCTCTGCTGGGGGCGACATGGTTTGTACATCTCTATTTGTTCTTAGTGTTACAGGAGTTATTCTATCTATATGCATCTGCCTTGTAACTTGACTTTAGGGAAGACACAATTTCAAATGGCAGTCATTTTTTGTCACTAGCTTTGAGTTGTGGTATGTCACTTGCATTGAATTCTGCACATATATTTTAGCTTGGGAGGCTTAAAGGGCTGAGGCAAAAATATTGGCCAATTTAAAGGAGGAATGTGTGTTATAAGAGAGGAGATTGTTTAAAGGCATTACCATTTTTCTGTTTGTTACTTCAGTTTTCATTGTGTCTGACATAAAATATCTGAATGGATTTAGGAGAATGACAGCAGCTTTGTAGTTTTACTTCCAGAGTGGCAGAGCTTAGCTTGTGTTGGAGAACTCTTGCTGATTTTCATTTTTAGAATTATTGGGCTGATCTAATGTTGAGTAAATCAATTAACAGTTCAGTTTCTGTGGGTAATGTATTTCTAAAAGCTTGACTGTGTTAGAATGAAAATTCCAGTTTTGTTGTTGATAGGTGCTTTCAATAAATGCAGCCTCCTGCTCACTTCAAGTGTTTTTGAGAAGTTCCATCTTATGCTACAGTTTTGCAGAGCAGGGGTTGGTACCTCTGTGTCCAGAAATGGCAGCAGCAGTGTTTCCTTGTGTTAGCATGCAGATTATTACACCTATGCTGATACTTTTAAAAGTGGGGATTTTTTTGGTTCTGAAGGTCTTTGTCTCACTAACTGTGGCCATGGCACTACCTTTACTTGTGCTTGTTCTTAGCTGGAAATAAATGATCTGATGGAAGCCCAGGAGTCCTGCAGTGAGTGATACTTGGAAAGGAGCTCTGGAGGTCATCTTGTCCAGCCTCCTGCTGGACCCAGGACTGTGGCCAGCACTAAAGCAGGTCAGCTGTGATTTTTTTCCAGACAGGTGATGAAAACCTCCAAGGACAGAAATTTCACAGCCTCTGTGGGCAGCCTGGTCTGGTCCTGTATTACCCTACCAGTGGCACTCTTTTTTCTGATATCTCTCCTGAATCTTCCAAGACTGTCACTGCTGCTGCTTGTTATGTCATGTAGCATCATGGAGAAGAGTTTGTTCCCACTGTCTTGATAAATACGCTTTGGGTAGTTTTAGGCAATTAGTAGATAATTCAGATTGGCTGTCCTTTCAATGCCTGGCTCCTGAACTGGCACAGAGGAAAAGAAGAGATGGATCTGGTGACCACCCTGACAGTCTCATTGTCTGCTTAAGACTTCAGGCTTCATATGTCTTCTTTCCTTGAAGGTATTTTCCCCCCAACTGTTTGAATGTCAGTGCTTTGTTTTTCACTTGTCCTTGTGCCTAGGACAAGTAACAGATGGATTTATTGATTTTATGGTACAGGTGGACGTGTGTAGTCCAAGATATTAATGTATTAAGTCATACATGCAGTAGGTGGTTTTCATATTTAAAATACCTTTTCTGGACTGTAATAAAAAGATAATTTCTGGCACAAAAAGTGCTTTTCAGTTTTCTCTGTGGCTACTGGCCCAGTCTGGGCTGTCTAGGTAAGAACAGAGGCAGCAGTGGGTGAGGGGGATTTGAATTTTCTTGCAGTTCATTTTGAAGACAAGCTCTGCCAGCAGTGTTTTAGCAAGCTGTCAAGAACTTTCCCAAGCATGTGGCTTGAGGGCACCTGTATAGTCAGAGGCTGCTAACTGTATGTAAATGGATAAAATGTTTAGTGGAGTGAAAAGCCTTTGCTTATAGGTGCAGACAGACGTGCAGTGTCAAGGCAGATGACTCAGTCCTGTTGATCTTTGTTGCTATCTATGCATTAAAGTGAGCTTCCTTTTTAAGTAGTTGCTTATGTCTAATTTAGAGCTGTGTCTCATCTTGCTGATGATAAATTGTTTCCCCCTCCTGTGGGGCACAGCCCTGCTCCTACCAGGCTTGTGGCAGAAATACACTGGAAATACGGTTTGAGAGGAGCTAAATCTCCCTTGTGGCTGTATTATTGTCCTAACCCTACAGCATTCCTGGTATGTGAAGATGTGCTGACCTTGCTTCTTCTAAGTTGGGTTTTATCCAGCAAAAGAGCGGCAGCAGGATTTGAAATCACTGGTGAGATTATTCTGCAAGTGAAGCTTAATGGCTTGATTCCAGCCCTGACCTGGAAAGGTAACTGCTAGTGACAGATGAGGAGCTGTCTTCCATATCTCATCTCGTCAGTTCTCTTTGTTCTGACTTTGGCAGGAAAAATGCTGTTTACTTGAATACTTTGAAGGTGGTTGAAAGAAGACTTTAGACATGGTTGAAATGTGATTTTTTAAAAAATTAATAACTATCCACTTTTCAATTCCTCCCACCCAAATATCTCAGCAGTATTTGCTAATGAGAAATAATTATGTCTCAATTTTAAGTGACACAAGTGCTATTGTTTACACAAAATGTGAGAATCTTGTAAGACACGGGGCATATGCTTGGAGGGATAATGCATGAGCATCAGCTCTGCCTTCTCAGGGAGCCAAGCCTTGCAGAGGAAGATGACAGATACATGTGTTTATATACAGCCTCTAGAGCTGGCTGTGTTTGTTTATCATTTGTCATAAATGCAGAGACTCCCAGCACAGAGCACCAGTTCAGCACAGGCTGGAGCAGATGGTCCTCTCCAGCAGATGTGACACGAATTCCAGCACTCACTGGATGTTTCAGGCTGAAGACCAGCAAGAGGATTTATCCTGGTAAGATGGAATATTCTTGAAGCTTTCCTGTGGATTGCTGCTCCACTTGGGATTTTTCCATGGACAGGGCAGAAATATGGCCTGGTTGTCAGCTTGTATTGCTGGCAGGTCACAGCTGCTGAAGCAGCCGCCTGGGCTCCTCTGATACATTGCTTGGATATGATGTTGCAAACTCCTGGGATAACAGTACTTACACAAAGTTATTGCTTTGGAGCGACCTGATAGTTCATTCTTTCTTTCCAACTGACTCATCATTCTCCACAAACTTGGTATTCAAACAGAAATAACTCACCAGACCCACTGGTGAAAGCCCTGTGTGTTGTTTTCCATGACTTTGCAACTAACAAGAAAATTCATGGTTATATTCTTCCCTCTTTTTTCTCCCTGCACTTACCAAAAATGCATGTGATACTGCTACAGCCTTTGCTTTTAGATGATATGTTATGACACCCTCCATGTGTCACCTAGAGCTGACCTGTAGTGAGTTAGGAATAATCAGCAGAACTCATTTATCTTTCTGATTTACTAAAAACCTCAAAAAAACTAAACCCAAACAGTCTAATTATCCCAGCCAAGGGAAACTAATAGAACAAATTGCACACATGACCTGCATGTGTTATGAAAACTGCATAAATCCAAGAGGAGAAGTTTGCAGAGATTTCCTAGAGAATATTCATCCACATTGTAAAACCAGTGATAAATTTTCCTGCATCTGGCAATTATTATGCCATACTCTGCTCTTACTCAACATTTACCCTGTTCATCTTAGGCAACACTTACTCATTCCTGAGTTCTCTCACATACCAAGATATTAATCTGCTTCTCATACAAACAGTCAAGGATCTGAAATTGCTGCAGCACACCAGCACGGGCTTGATTCAGTATCTGTTTTTGTTTCCTTCCTTTTGTTTGTGGTTAGGGAGAAAGAATCCAAAGTGCATCAAAGTCCATTGGGCTCTGGAGCTGCACCCATGCCCATACTTAGCAGTCCTGTGTTTAGACTTGTATGCTCTGAGGGTTTAGAAGTCACAGCCACTACCCATCTGTATTTGCCTTAAACAACTTTTTAAATGAATTTTAGGTGTTTCATTTTTCTTTGCATTCTTACACATAAGTTGGGTCTGATTTTTCTGTGGGCTTTGCTTTCCTTGGCTTCTAAAATAATTTTATAAGGTGTTGCTGACTTGAATCATGTGGCCATTGGCAAGCCCAGCTGTGCCCCTTGCCCAGCAGTGCTTCAGGGAGCTACACACACAATCCAAGGCTGCTCCAAAGGTAGCAAATCACACGTGGAAGCATTATCATGACAATTGACTGGCATTGTTGATGGCTTGGTGGAAGTATCTGTGCAAATACATATCAGAAATACATATCAGTGTGTGCTTCTTTATCACACTGCTCTGCTGGCTGAGGAGTGGGCACTGTGCCTTTCTCTCAGAGCTGCTCACAGAGATGAGTGCTGCTATGGCCTGAGCCACTTTTGGGGGGCTCAGCTGCACCTACAGAGCTGACAAGGGGACAGCTGGTGGCTGGAACATGCTATAGTTGGAGCCATTTACATTTAAGGCTGGCAAGACTTTTTCTGGCCCCATCTTCAGGTCTGCTGGGTGCTCTCCACTGGCTTTTGTAGCATGCAGAGAGCACACAGGTGTATTTATGTCTGTCCTGGACTCAAATCCTTCCAGCCCTTCCTGGTGAGCTGGTGACCAAGGGTGAGCTTGCACTGCTGAGCAGGAGCTGGGCTCCCCTGGAGCAGAGGGGAGGTGGTTTCATGCTGCCCCAATGGTGATTTCATGCTGTCCCAATGATTGTTTCATGCTGTCCCAATGACCTGCAAGCATGGCTGGAGGCCAGGAGAGGACAGCCTGTCTGCCACTGGGCTTCCACTCAGTGAGCCACTGTATGCTCAGGTATGTTTTGAGCTGTGGATGCCTTGCCTTTTGCTGATGGATGAGGACAGGCACTAAAACTAAGTTATGCATGCTTCTACTCCCTGTCTTTGATCAATGGAGAGGTTGTAAATGGAATTGTTGTCTGGCTGTTTTGGGACATACCTATTTTTGGTAATATTCATCTACTTGGGGAGCTAAATCAAAGGAAATAAATTCAATGAAGCACTCAATTATCACAAATAATTCATTGTTCTCTAATGTATTTAGGAGTGATATTTAAAACATATTTATTTGGCATATAATTCATAAACCTGTCAAAAAATTGATCTAGAAAGAGGGTTTAATATTTATTCCAGAGCCAAAGGCTAAAGTGCTGAAATTGTGTGAACTGAAATCTTTTAGCAAGATCAGATAGAACCCTTAGTATTTCATACTTCTTAAATGACTAAAAACCTTCCCACAGAGATGAGCTGTTGAAGCTGTGCTCCCCTCAGAGCACATCCCAGAAAAGCTGTAACCACAGCAGAGCCCAAGGTATGGAGATTTCAAGTGTTTAACTTCCAATATCAAAGTGCTCTCAGAGAGAGCTTGAAATTCATGCAGCCTGAGGCAGCTCTCCCCAAGCCTCTGTCATCTGTCATGCTGTGGCAGCAGGCAGAGCAGAGATGGAGGGAAAAGCACATTAATATGAGGACAGTGTTGTGTCATTTAAAGAGATGCAATCTGAGCAGAAGCTTGGTTTTGGGTAGGTTCAGTTCTTTGTTTTTCAGTCCATGCTCTTCATTCTTTGCCCACCACAGATATCCCTTTTCTGTGCTACCCTGGGGATCAGAAAATTATTGCAGGGGTGGCTGGCAGGTCTGTGCTCTGCAGCTCCATATCCACAGTCCCTAAAGAGGGATGCTGCAATGGGCTCAAGTCTTCTACTGCTCCACACTTCCTTCAACATTTATGTCCTCCTTCAGTTGCAAGTATATTCTTCTCCATTCAGCTATAAAGGTCCCCTGGGCACTGGTGACCCCCTGGCTGGGGAAGGGGCTGGTTCTGGGCACTGCAGCATGAACCCAGTGCTGGTGAGATGTTTGTGAAGCCCCCAGTGAGGGATCCACTCCCTTGCACAGGTAGGACCTCAGCCAGGTCATGGATGTGTCTGTTCACACAAATGCTGAGATGGGGAAAGGGAAACTTTTGCATTCACCATTCTCTTCCCCTGTTTGCAGGTACCACTTTAGAGATAGCAAAAGGAACAGAAGACAGAATGAGTTCTGGAAGTAAAGAAATAACATTCAAATGTGAACCAGCTTGTTGTAAAGGAAGTTTGTTCTTGACCTCAGTCTCCCTTAGCAAAGCCTGGGCCATTCCTATTCCTGTTGTTCCAGTGGGTTTGCTTTGCATTTGTATCTATGTGAGAAACCTGTATTTTACAGTTCCAGGGAGTAAATATGATGCCTTCTGTATCATAAATTTAAAAAAAGATATTTTAATTGAATTAGGTAGAACATGAAAGATGCTCCCACCTCTGTTCAAGTGGTTGACACTGTAATAATGAAACCTATGACACCATATGTAAAAATAGCTGTCATTAAATGAGCTCATCTGAATGGCCTTAAAGATAGGAATATGCTGCCCTTGCTGCCTTGCAAATGAAGTAATTGTGTTGCTTTGCATTGATCTGTGCAAAGTTTAACCTTAGTTAAAGAGATGCAGCCTGAGAAATCACTGTGGAGAGATGCTGGGAGGAGATCAAATGTAGCCCTGAGATTTCAGGCTCCATCACTGTACTGCTCATCCCCTCACAGGGCAGCCAAGCAGGGAAAGAATTGATTTTGAACCAGGAAGATTACATGACTGAGACTGATTTTTAGCCATGATTTCAACACTCCATGTGCAGACATCTCCTGGACCAGGCACTGTGCTGCAAGGTTTTCATTTCATGCTGAGCAGGGCTGGCAGCATCCCCCCAGCATCTTTCAGCCAAATTAGGTGGGCCAGAGCAGTGCACAGGCACTGCCCTCTGTGGGCTGCTGTCCCTGGGGTGGAGTTTCCTGATGGGGATAACCCAGCTGGGGATTGCTGCCAGGCTCCAGTGTGGGTTTGGGTGTGGTGTGAAACCTCCCTGAGCCCAAGCACCTCTGCTCCCATTCCTCTGGGAATGCAGTGGGAAACAGTGCTGGCTTGGGTCCTTTATAGTCTGGGGTTGCTTTGTCTTCTCTGCAGGTCACTTTCCTTATAAGCCATTAGCTTTCCCCCTCTCTGTCCTTGGCAGGATGAGGTGAGGGTCCAGGACAGGCCTTCCTAGGGCTGCCCCTGTCCTCCAGCCCTGCAGAACAGGTGCTGTGAGCCAGAGCCTCACTTTTCCCACCCTAATTGCTGAGTGCTGATAAGCCAGTTTCCCCAGACAGATCCTCCCTCCCACACTGTATTTTCCCTCCTTTTCCCTGGGTGGATGATCCAGCTCAGGCTCATCAGGAGAGTGTCAGCTGAGCCAGGATCATCTCATTATTTGGGGCTGTAAGCTGATAACAGAGCTTGTTCCCTGTTGTGTGCTTTGCTTTGATTCTCTGAGCTGTATCTCATCACTCTGTGCCTAAACTTCATCTTTGTGGCTGGCTGCTGCAGGGTACTTGTCAGGCACAAAACCCCTTCTCTCATTTCATGACAATAAAAATGGGGGGCATAAACCCACAGCAGAAAGACCCAGTAATGACAGTCACTGGAGGGATGGAGCTGCTGACACAGCCCTGCTGAAACCAGCACAGAGCTCTGGGACAAGCCTGGTGTCTCTTCTCCAGCTGCCTTGCCCTGGTTGTAAAAAACAAAAATGGCACAACCCCAAACTGGTATAATGGAACTGCTAAAATCCTCATTTAAAATACTCTGCTTTAATCAGTAAATTAGGGCTCAACTCTGCGATCATTTTTTATTAGTTAAGCAAGTTATGGTGCAAATACACATTTCAGTTACTTTCCACTAATTAAACTAAACTGTGTCAGTCAGTGATTAAATTCACATTTGAACAGACTCAAATGCGTCCAAGTTTTAATTAAATCTGTATTAAACTGGTTTTTGTGAAACTATTTCAACACAAGCACTCACAAGGTTTGGCTCTATCTGATGCTTCTTAAACTTGGGGATTCCACAGTGGGGATCCTCAGACCCACAGCATCTGCTGAGCTCTGGGGTGACAGGGCAAGGGAAGGGCTGAGGAGGCTCCTGCATGGAAGGTGACACACTGGGGCCTTGTCACTAGCACAGCATGGTCCCCTCCTCTGCTGCCCTGGGAGGGTTAGCTGGGCTTGTTGGCTGCAGTGTTTAGATACAGTACTGGAAGCTGTGACTGCTGTCATTTAAATCTGGATTACATCAAAAACTGAACTTAAAGTGCAAGACTTACAGTCTTGACCTGCAGAGTTTTCATGTTTGCATTTTCAATGTAAGAAAGATTCCCCATCACTGCTGATAACCCTTCTGTGTGATGGTTGTGTACTTGCACTCTCCTGAAAGATGTTTCCTTTTCATGATGCTGTCGTTGGAATTCTTCACAACACGAGCCACTTGAGCCTCAAGGGACAGCAGAGTCCCAGAGTCACAGCCCATCAGACAGAACTCAGGGTGCCAATGACACTGCTGCAGATGGGCTGGGGGTTCCATTCCTCCTTCATTCCTTAGCTGGGAACACACAGGCATGTCTTCCTGAATGCCAGGTAATGGGTAAGTATAAATGGCCTGCTCAAACAAGTTTCTATGCAAAAAGGTAATCCTTCATGGTTTTCAAATGACACAGGATAAGCTGGAAATGTACTGATCACCAGCATACAGCCAGGGTGCTTCTGTTTGTGATAAGGACAGGCTTGGACAAGAGATTGCTGTGTGAATTACTCAGGAAACCATCCATCTACAGAAAGGAAATCCTGTATTGGGCTGTGTGTGGTTTACAGCAACCCAGTCTGCCTGCAGGCTCTCAGATTAAGGAGTGCTACACCCTGCTGATAGTTAGTGAGCAAACAGACTGGCAGAGGTGGCAAGCACATCTGACTTAGTAAACAAAATATTTTAAGAGACAATGTGCAGTTACACCCTAAACTCCTTCATGTCCATGTGGAGGTCTGGCCCCCTCAGCTGTTTGTGGTAGCAGGACACCCTCTCCTGTTTCCCATCCCCTGCTGCTGTGACTGGCAGAGATCCATTAGTCCACAATAAAAACTGGATTTATGTCTGTCTGATGCTGCTGGTTTGTATTGTAGGTAATAGTATCCCATAAAATCTGGGAGTCAGAGGAATGGCAGGCAAAGGATATTTATTTTGATCATGGCATCTCCTTGGCTGGCCCTTCGAGGGAGCTGTGGGAGATATGTGCTGGTAGCTTTGCTTTCAGAGGAAATAATTAGAAGAGTAATTACTGGGGCATGAAGCCAAGTGACCAACCATTCAGACTTGTATTTTTTTGCAATCAGTCATTGTACTTTGCTGCTATAGACTGTTTAATAGTGCATTATGAGAAGATGGAGAAAAGCAGCTGCACAGCACTGCTGCAGGAAGGGATCCCCAGAGACTTCCCCTGCACCTGCACAGACTGTGCAGCTCTGGTTCAGCAGGGCAGACACTGGCCTGGGATAGCTGCGAGGAAACCTCAGGCTTGTCTCAGGTAGATCATAAAAGCATCAGTCAAATATCATCACCTGTTGGTGCCTTCTGCCCTTCTCCTTCCTTCTGTCTCCCCAGGTGCTGTGCCCGTGTCTCTGACAGTGGCTGGTGTACTGGAGCTTGAACAGATCCATCACACAGATGTATGAAACACTGCCAGCTGTGGAGAAACTTTAATGGATGCTCTGACCCACTGCTTTCTTTTACCTCTGCAAATCTCCCCCAGAGCTACCACGAGCTATTTTTAGCTCAACTTGGTTCATAATAACATTATTCCTTATTTAGTGAGCAGGATATCCTGTATATGGGACATTCTGGAGTGAGTGTTTAGATAACAGATTTAAACAATGGGTGATTTAAACAATGGTAGTAAAAATTGATGTTATGAATTCTCTCTGGTCCCAGTTTTGAGGTCATGTTTATTAGTGTACAACCCATTATTTTTCTTGAGTACGCAATATCTATTAAAAACTTCATAGAGCTGAGCACCTCTGGGATGTACTCAGCAATTTTCCCAGAGACTCACCCTGTGCTCAGGGAGTCATGAAGCAGCCAAGGTCCCAGAAAACAAGCCACTGGCCATCTCTCATCAGCCCAAGGCTCTGCAGATTTCATCTTGCCTCTAGCTGAGGAGGAGAGAAAGGACTAATTTAATTTAAACAGCAGTGGTAAAAATCAGTGCTGTGGATTCATTCTGCTTCTGATGCTAAGGTCACATAATTAGCATTCAACCTGTTACTCTGCAGCCTGGGAGAGTCTCTCCCAGCACCACCTGGGCGTGTAGAAGCACGTGCTGAGCCTGTTTGCACTGCCAGGCCTGGTGTGGCTGCTCACAGCTCTTGTGACATCTGCATGTCCCCCACAGCTGCCTGGGAAGCTGCAGCACTGCCCTGTGCAGGAATCCCACAGGGATAACTGCTGTGCTGGTGAGCTCCCCCGTGGGCAGCAGGCACCAAGGGCTGTGCCAGCTCCTGCAGATGCAGCTGTCTGTCTCCTGAGCGTGGCTGTGCAGCTAATCAAATCAGCCCTGCATGAAAAGAGAGTGCAGCCTGTCCTCAAAAATCTGTGTGCCTGGAGCAAGGCCCAAAGGCATGTGAAACATGCTGGGCTTGGGGGTGAAAAAAACCCACAGGCTAGTAAAAATTGAATGTATGAGCCAAGGGTTCACAAAGTTCAACAATATTTTCCAATAAAACATCTTGAAGGATCGGTTTAATACCAGGACAGCTGTGTTATTTAAACAGTTTGGAGTTTTGGGGGTGCAGGACAAAGTAAAGTGATGGGTCACAGGCAGTAAGCAGAACAATGGATGGTTTTGTCCCCTCATTCAGCCTTGTGAAGAAATATAGGAAAACATGAAACGGGGAGTGGGAAAGAAAGATGCTTTTCATTTCCTGGGTTTTCTTTGCAAGATATGGCTGTTGTGGGATGATGTTTCTGAGTAGCAAGGCTGTGGACTTAGCTGGCTGGAGCTGTCAGAAAACATGCTTTTGGTTGTAGGACATGGAATATTTTTCTGGCTGAGATGTTATAAAATTGCCTGTGGTTTCTTGCCTTTACATCTGCTTTATTTTTAATTTTAAAAATCCTCAATCTCTTGATTGTAACTCCAAGAGTCAGAGTTGGAGTGATAAGGAGTTCTCTTTGTATCTCGCAAGTGTACTCTTAACTCTCACACTAGGTTGGTTACCTGTGAATTAATTGAGGCTGCTGGACCTTGGTTACCTGGCTTGCCTTTGTGTGCAGCATCTTGGCTATGCAACATATGCTACTTCCCGTCAGGAATGATTTTTATGTACCTAAACTCATATTTTGTTTCATATAAACACAATTACATAACCAAACATTTGTATGGCATTATTTCTTGGTTCTCTGACCCATTCCTTGTTACTGCACTTGCAGTTTGCTGGGTTCAGTTTCTTGTGTTCAAGAACTGCTTTTCACCTACGTGGAGCCACTCATGGCACCGTGCAGATGCAGCACAGGAACTTTATCACCCAAAATTAAACCAAGCAGAATGCTTACATAGATGGTCCTCAAACTTCAGCAAACAGCTTCAAAACTCTGTAAATATTTATTAGGCAAACAGAAGCTGAGGATGATGACCCTGTCCTCGTCAATATTTGAGACAGTTTAACATACTCCCAGCAAACTATGTGTTTAAAAATAATTTCAAGTATCTGTGTAGATTTAACCCCCGGGGTTATTTCTTCTCTCTTAATTTGTTAATAATTTGGGCACAAGACAAAAAACCCAAGGCTTTTGACTGATTCTATGACTGCAGGCAGCTGTTAGTACGGCAGCAGCCCGTACACACCCTGGTGCTCTGGCACTGATGGTTTATGCTGCTCCTTTGGCACCGAGACCCTCAGGCAGAGCTGGGAGCTGAATGGACTCGCCTGCAGCGGGCCAGGCCTGTAGGACTTCTTTGAGGAAAACCGTGCAACGTGGAGCTTGTGACACCACACCGCCGTCCCCTCCTGTGGGGGTACAGAAACTCAGCTTCACACCAAAACACGCTGCAGGACGCCGATGCAGGGAGGGGGGCACGGAACCCGACTCTCGCTCTTCTTTCTGGGCACGGGCCGGGCTGCGGGGGGCTCTGCCCGCCTGGGCGGGAAGGCGGGAAAGGGGAGATCGGGAAATCAGCGGGAGATCGGGACAAGCGGGACATCGCGAAATCGGAAAGCCGCGACCGCGCGGGCGGCGCCGCTCCCCGCCCCGGGCCGGCCCCCGTCGGACAACGCCCCCGGCCCTCGGGCCGCCGCCCGCGGCATTTCCTCTGAGCTCAGCCGGCGGCTGACGCGGGCCCGGTCCCTCGGAAGAGGAAGCCGGCGGCGGAGCGGAGCGGAGCGGAGCGGCGGCCGGGCAGGCAGGGCCGGGGCAGGCAGGGGCGCGGCGGGCGAGGGGCAGCGGCGGGGCCCGCGCTGGGGGCGGCCGGGGCGGCGGAGGAGGGGGCCGGCGGGGGCGGGCGCTCCCCGCCCGCGGGGCCGGGCGGCGGCGGCTCCCCCCGCGGCCCGAGCCCCCGCCGCGCCCTGCCCGTGTCCCCCCTCCGCGTGCGGGGCTTCTGGCCGCTGCTGACCGCGCTCTGCACCGCGCTCCTCTGCCTCTACCAGGCGTTGCGCGGCAGCGCGGCCGGCGAGGGCGCGGGGGGCCCGGAGGACGCGGCGGCGGAGGCGGCGGCGGGGTCCGGGCTGCCGCTGCTGAAGGGCTCGGCGCTGCTGCTGCTCGGCTGCCTGCTGGCCCGCTGCTACGGCGCGGCGGGCGGCGGCCCCGGGCGCGGCGGGGCGCGGGGCGCGGCGGGGGCGCGGCGCGGAGCCCTGGAGCGGTTCCACGCGCGGCAGCTGCGGGTGTCGCCGCACGTGCTGGGGCACAGCAAGGCGCACGTGGGCCGGGTGGTGGCCGAGCTGGTGCGCGCCGCCAAGGCGCAGGGGCTGCAGCCCGGCCCGCTGGCCCTCAGCCTGCGCGGGGACTTCGTGCGCATCGGCAGCGCCTACGAGCAGCACAAGGTGCGCAGCCCCGACTGCTTCGACATCCTGGTGCCCCTGCGGCTGCCGCCGCACCTAGAGCCGCAGCCGCGCTGCGCTGACGGGCTGGGGCCGTGCGGCGCCTTCGTCTGCGGCCTGCGGGCGAGGGACGGCTGGACACGACGCTGCCGGCCCTTCGCCGAGGGCTTCTGCGTGGAGCTGCAGGGCCGCAGCCACCTCTCCTCGGGGCTGGTGCTGCGCTGGTTCCAGGGCCATCTGCAGCGGTGCCTGGGCGCCGTGCGCTATCGGCTGCAGGAGCGGTGCCGCGTCAGCCTCTCGGCGTGCCCCGGGCAGCCGCCCACGCTGCACATCCTGCCCTGCTCCGACTACGTGTGCTGCCACATCTCCATGGCCGTGCGCCTCATCCCGGCCATCCCTCTCGGCGACGCGCTCTACCTCACGGCCCTGCCGCCCGAGGGCCCCCACGGCTCCCCGGCCCCCGAGGCGCTCTGGGGCCTCAACGCCTCGCGGCAGGAGCAGCGGCTGCTGGGCTGGCTGAAGGAGCAGGCCCCGGCCGCCTCCTGCCACCTCAAGTGCCTGCAGATCCTCAAGGGCCTGCGGGACCTCCGCGGGCACGGCCTGGAGGAGCCCTTCTGCTCCCAGTGGGGCCGGGTGCTCTCCTCCTACGTACTGAAGACGGCCCTCTTCTCCCTGCTGCTGCAGGGGCCCTTGGAGGCCTGGGATGAGCAGTTCCTGGTGGAGCGGCTGGAGGACCTGGTGCTGTACCTCAGGGACTGCCTGCGCAAGCAGGTGCTGATGGATTTCTTCCTGGGCAACACCAGCCTCCCCGAGGCCGTGGCGCTGCCTCGGTTCCTCAAGGAAGCCGCCCCTGTGAACTTGCTGTCTGCTTTTGACGGGCCCACGCTGGACCTCGTGGCCTTCCAGCTGATCAGCACGTGGGTGCAGGCCCCGCACATCATCAGGATGTACAGCAGCCCCCGGTACTGGCGCCCGGTGCCCGCCCCGTGCCGCCACAGTGCTGAGACCAAGCGGGAGCTGGCAGCGGGAGAGTGAGCTGGGAGGGCTGCTGGCACCTGGGACTCTCCATCACACACTCCTGGCTCCCCAGTGCTGGGAGAGCTGCTGGCACCTGGGACTCTCCATCACACACTCCTGGCTCCCCAGTGCTGGGAGAGCTGCTGGCACCCGAGACTCCATCATACACTCCAAACTCACTGGTGCTGGGAAAGCTGCTGGCACCTGGGACTCTCCATCACACGTTCCAGACTCACTGGTGCTGGGAGAGCTGCTGGCACCCCAGACTCTCCATGACACACTCCAGACTCACTGGTGCTTCAGGAGCCTGTATCTGCCTGAGGATGCTGGGACTGATGAATTGTTCTTCTGTGGTTCTGTTCCTGCCCTGAGAAGAGCGGGCCAAGACTTACTGAAGTTGTGATTTTCATTCTCATTGGTTTTACGTGGGGAAATTTTGACATTTCTGGGGAAATGCCTTAGTCCTCAAGTGTTGCCTTTGGTTTACAGTTTGCAAACTAAAAGGCTCAAACTGAGATTTTTAGAAATCCGTGTTAACTTCTTGTCTTAGTGGCAAAATAGCTTTTTCTGAGATTTTCTTTTTATGATGCAAAATCCATGTGGGATTTAAAAATCTTCCAAGTGCAAACAGCACATCCCTCATCCATCAATGTACCAAGATGTTCCTAAAATGTGATAAGCACTAGAGCATGGGTGTGGATCGCAGTTTGAAATGCTCAATGTCATGCTTTAAATTTCCTGGGTAATGGAGCACATTGTGCTAAATAGATATGTAACACATGTTAATGTAAACTTGAGGGAAGAAGTGAAACTGCTCTTATAACAGGGTGAAGAATCTAGTTTTACATTTGTGTTCAAGTGAAGGTTATATTGAAGGATTGAAGTGCAGATAGAAGGAAACAAATAGCACTTTATTTTCACAAAGGCCTTATTTTTAGGATAATTGGCTGCACTAAATATTGCTATTGAGGAGGCATTAGTGTTTTGTTAGAGTGGTGGTTAAATTACCCCAAGGAAAACCTTTTAAAATAAATACTCTGAGGTTCATTTGTTTGTGGGTTCTAGTTGAGTTCTATTATTTGTTTCTGTATTCAAGTATTATTTCCTTAGAATATGCTTTACCTCAAGGACCAACAACAAAATAAGAAATTCTCTATTATATTTTGGAACAAACTTTAAACCAGTCCAAATCTCAGTGCCAAAAGTTGACTGTGGCACCCTCCTGCTCCCTGGTAGGAGTTTGGTAGGATTTTTGGGTAACTGCCTAACCAGTTGTCTTGATTGTGTCAGTGTTTGAACCAAATAACCTTGATGAGATTTTCTAGTGCTGTATTATAGCAAATTGTTATTTTTTTATGGGGAGAAGAAAGTAAAATATTTCAGGGTACTTCAGAATTATTTAGCACTGATTCGTGGTACAGTAGCAGTCCTGGTGGGCTGCAGATTCTGATGCCCTCTGAGTATAAATATCAGGCAGATAATTGCCACTTTTTGTCTGGTTATGTCCCAGTTGCTGGAATAACCTGGTGAGTTGTGATGCAGCCAGGTTTGCAAGTGTCCTTACAATGCAGGTGTACCAGGGTTTGAAATTCAAATCCTTACTTTTTTTGGTCATCTGCTCAAGCATTTGATGTATTAAATCCCAAAATGTGTTGCTGAATTGCTGGTGCTCAGGAAGCTAAGCAAGTGCCTTATTACCTGCAGTGCTGTGTCCTGAGACAGCACTCTCAAATTGTGAAGGACCAAGTGTAACTTCTGGGGAGCTTTAGGATAGCCTGAAGTAACTAACCTGCTCTTCCTCTCCCTGATGGATTGGTGTGCCTTACTCCCGGTTCTGTGCATCAGAACATGAAACAAACATTGTCAGAATCTATGAAGCTTTATACAAATCTATTTTTCTAAATGGAAACACTCCCTAGGCAGATGTTTGCCTACTTTTGTCCATTTCTTTAACTGCTCTTGCAGTCATATTTTCAGGTAATTATGGCATAGGTCACACCCACAAGCTGGGTTATTTTTGTACTCGAAGCCCTGTGCTTCTTTCTACAAATACAAATAGTGTATTTATAGGTAGTATTGATCAAATGTTCTTTGCACATGGTATTTAAGACTAAGTCAGCTACATTCTGGGTTGTTGGGGTTTTTTTGTAGCAGACCATGATATGTACTATTTTTGCAGGCTTGTGTTTCTTGGTATTTAAAATAAGATTCAAGATTCAGTTCTGCAATCAAAGCCATTGAATCTTTTGCCCAAAGAAGAACTAGATGGCCAGCCCAGGGTCTTGTGGCTGCCTGGACTCTTGACATGAAAATCCTTGAGTTGTTAATTCTGGCATCATGATCACTTCAGTCAGCTGTCTGTCTGTTTATATCACTGCATCCCTGTCTCTGAAAAGGGAACTTTTCTCTGGACAGGGGTGTGCATTTGTTTAGTATGGCCACAATACATGGAAATCTGTAATGGACTTGGTAAGGACTTCCTCACTAAAATGTGGTAAGGTCAGGAGAAGAGAATTGCATTGGAAAATACATGACAAGAAGAGACGGTAGAGAATGTAAATAGTTTAAAAAATGAAAGTTGGGCTGAGGGGTGAGTGACAATGATGGTAAACTCTCAGTGAGGATGCACTGCAAACAAGCCAAAGGACATGGGGTAAAATTGGAGAACTATTGAAAGCAAGTGGATTTGGAGTGTAGGGTAAAGAGATTTAAGTGGGTTTTGTTTTGACAATATTTCCAAAGCAGTTGAGTCCATCAGGGTAAAAAGTGAGGCAAACCCTCAGTTCATTAGCTATGCAAGTAGATCTTCAATGTGAGTTTTTGCTCAGAAGGCATGCTTTGAGTTGATGATGGAGAAAATGCATGTGTTGGCTTTCACCTTAAGCTTGGGTGAGCCTTGAGGTGAGGGGGCATCCTGCCATGAGGCAATGTGTGTGCACTTGGTGGCTCAGGTGTACAACTGAGATATTAAATGTATTCCCCTTATCTGCTCTAAAGCATGCATTCATGAATAGCACTGATGAAAGGAGCTGACAGAAGTTGGGTTTCTGTAACAGCATTCATCTTTTTCCACAGAAACATGACAGCACTGGTGCCTGCTGTGTGCTGGGGCTGTTTCAGGGCCTTATCTCCAGGGAGGTGTACAGAGAACTTGAACCATATGAGTAATCCTGTGGCCCTTTTGCCTTCTTCCTCCTCTCCCAGCCCATGGATACACAGCAAGGTTATGCTTACCTGTTTGCTAAGACTGTAGCTGTTGAAATGTACCATGGATTCAGTAGGGTTGCCTGTGTGTGTGTAGACAGAAACACAAACACAGACAAAGGAGCACGTTGTTTAGCACTAACACAGGCTCTTAGTTCTCTTACCTGCAACCTAATTTTGCAAAGACTGTGCAAATGAAGTTGTTTTTATCCAACATTGATTGGGAAGAGGAGTCAGACCTGCAAGAGAATAAGTTAATTTACAGTACCAAAATTCATATATGTAATTTCATTTTGTCTTGAAAAATGCTCTCTATTTCTCAAAGGCATTATATTTTATCTGACCAAATATCTTGCAAACATTCCTCTTTTGATTTCGAATCTCTGTGGAGTAATGTAAATTTTAAGTATCTTTTTGTAATGGACATTCCTGGTACAACTATTTTTTGCTGGTTAATCATAAGACCAAAGAGGAAACTGAAGTGTTCAGCTGCTATTGTTTTGGTTTTTTAAGTGTTTATAGGCTCAAAGTGTCAGCCCATTTTAATGAAACGTTTATAAATTCATTTCCTATTTAATTCCAAAGTACATTTGCACTTTTATTGTTTCCATAAAAAGTTGGTGGTTTTGTTTGAATATTTCACTGTCATAATAAACAACTGTGTTAAAGCATCTGTGCCTCAAGATTTAAATTCCTTGTTGCCTTTTTTTCACTAACAGCTACCTGCAGCCACAGAACTGTAATTGGCAGGTGTATATGCTCTTTGGGAGGAGACTCCTGAAGTGGCCAAATGCTGGAAAAGCAGGAAGTCCACGCCTTGGGAGCTGTGCAGAGGGATGTGGAGCAGAGCCAGAAGGGAGAGTGGAGCACAGCTGGCACTGCCTGTGGTGCTGCTGACTTCTGAAATGGAGCACCTTGGGGTTTGTGGTTGGCTTGCTCAGAGTTGCTGTTTCCTTCGTTCCAGTGTTGGGTTGCTGCAGATCTGCTCTTTCTGGTGCTTCATTTCACAGTGTCTGTGTGATCCTTCAGCATGGCATGTCCAGACACGTCTCCGTGCCAAACAGGGGAGGTCAGGCTTTTATTAAATGTGGGAAAAGTCCTGCTGAAGGCAGCAGGAGCTTTTTGGATGGGCCACCAAATTGCCTTTATTCGTCTTTATAAGATGCAACAACTGTACACATAGCTTTGCTGGTGTTCCCTATTAATGAAATAACAGCAAGACCCTGAGCTTTTAAACCATTGAATCAAAGGCAGGCTGGAAGTGGCTTTCTGCAGGTCTTTGTGTGCCTGCCTTTGCCTTGCAGGAGCTGCTTCTGAGAGGGGCAGCAGTTGCTGGCACAGGGGGGCTAACGGGCTTCTTACTGGCAAAGTCTGGAGAAATGTCAACATTTAGTGTCAACACTCAGCCACCCAAGCTGGCATGGTGAAAATGTATTTGGAGCTTCACCTCTAATAACATTATCTCTTGTTAATGGCTTCCTTAAAAGCAATAGCCCTCCTCTGGTCTCCATTCAGTTCTTGCTCTGAAGTTATTCTCTGTTTGAAGCCTGAGTTCCTATTCAACAGGAGAGAAACACAGTACTTTCCTTTAGTGATAAATCTGTTAACAAAAAATTAAATGGCCTAAGGACTTGCATGCACGATGTTTAAAGAAAAGCCTGTTTGCATCCATCACATTGGATAAATTGTTTAAAATCTTTCCATGCTTGTGCAAATGCCTCCTTGTAATGCAGCCAAGATCAGCAGTGAATTGCTGATTAAATGCTGCTAATGGAAGTTAAAGCTGTCAGAAGGGAAGGGGATCTTATTTGTGCATCCCATTTTCATATGGCT